TCTGGGAGGCAGAACAAAGTTATTCTGGAGGTGGGCAATAGTGTTAGTGTTCTATTGTGCAACAGAGGCTCTTCGGAAGCAAAACAGTGGCTTTTCGAGTGGAAACCGAGCACGTGCATGAGCATTCTTCGCATTCTGAGCTTGTTTAAGTTTAAATATTTAGATTAAATATTTGTTGTAATTAATTAGTTGTAGCTAGTTAATTTTGTAAAAGTGTTGTAATTTGATTAGCTAGAATAGTGACTTAATGGATTCGGTTTATAATAATTAGTTAAGTAGTTTAGCTAATTTCATTTGGTTTTGTAATAGTTAGCTTAGCTTTAATTAGTTAGTTAACTAGTTTATTCATTTGGACTCTCCTTCGTGAGAGCACAATGTAATAACGTGTATGTCTCCCAACCCCATGTCTTTTTTCCTTTATTTACTAACTTACGATGGTTAGTTTAGGGACATCATGTTTTGTTTAGCATACTTCATGCCTACACCCATTTGTATTACATGCACCGAGGCTCGGTTCATCATTCTAACCTGCATTGTTAGGTTAAAATATTTCGTTGAATACGTGCTTAGACCGCATGCTATTTCACTGTTTCATATGCCATATTAGTAACCGAACCTAGTAAATTGTATATCGCATGTGTTGCATTAGCCATATTGCATAAGTAGGATCATGCATTTTTCTAACTCATTTCTTTTTCTTTTTCTTTTTGGCTTGGAGTACTAGTTGAGCCTTTACTCGCTTTAGCATAATTGCATGAGTGTTGATGCTGCCATGTTTAGCATGCTTGCCATAAGGCTAATTACTTAAGTGCTATAACTGCTTGAATGTCTGTGGATGAAGGCTAGTTGCTTGAATTGGAATAATTTGAGTAAATGTTCATATGCGATCACTTTTTCAAGTGGTACATATTTCGAAATAATTTTCAAAACAAACATGAATCAAGTGTTCCAATTCTTGCAAGTTAGTCTATACTTGTGTGTGTACGCATCACATAATAATGCTAGCCTAATAAACTAGAACAAGAGCATATAATGTACATAAGATTCATATCATGATTAGTAGAGGCTGATCTTGGATTGGGCGAGCGGGGGTGCTCAATTCATGACCTTCCCCTCTCATACCTAAGTTCTCGAGCTGAGGCAATCTTGGCGATGATGGACACATGGCCTTTGGCACAAATCATGGATTTCCTAAATTTTTCAAAAATATTTAAATGGCGACTCTGTATTTGGAAAAACAGTCTATTTTTGGCATTTTTGATTCAAATCGATTTTTCAAAAGATTTGCCGGATTTAGACTCTTTGGTGTTTATCAATTTTACATTGCACTAGTGAAATTAGATTCAAAACCACGGAGTCCGAACTGTAGGGCTTATTTCGACTTCTGAAATGGGACGCGAAAAAGTCGTAAAACATACATTCTTTATAATAAACTAAACCTAATTCTTGTACAACATAAAACTTATAAAAATTGAAAAACTAAATCCACAAAATTTAAGATACCTAATAATTTTATGCCCAGGTGAGAACATAAATTCATTATGGACTTAGAACATACAATAGATTTGGAAAAGAAAATAAAACCATCATAAGCATACTGGTTTTCAAAGCTTAATCTTGAGAAGGGAAGGCATCTTGTCTGAAAATAGTAGATCAGAAAATTTCTCGGTGAGAACTTATAATGAGATGTGCTGGTTTGTAGCCTCTGTTAAATGAGCTCTGTGATAACCTTGTCCCGTATTATGTTAATTAATCTTAATTATGATTGTGATTATGTGCTTAATATGATTTTGAGTGCTACTTATATGATTATGTGTGTTTTTTAATTTCTATCTGTTCACTGTAGGAAAATCTGTTTGATTCTTTGCTATAAAAATTTAATTGAAGGCCATAGAGGCGTCAGAAAGTGAAATTGATTGTATTTTTGTGCTTAGCATAATTTTTAGAGCCTATGGTGGAATTTAATTGAAAATTGATTCAAAGCGAATTAATTAGTTTAAATTGAATTAATTAAGCACCATAAATTAGTTCTAATTAAGTGTGATTAGGGAAAGCCTATATAAATGAGCTAAGTATGCTTAAGTTCATATTTTTAAGCACATATTTTTTAGCTCAAATCAGATTCTACACTCTAGAGAGAGAGGGTGAACCGAATTTAGAAAGAGAAATGAGTCATTATTGAAGATTTGCAAGAGAACTAAAGTTTTGAAAGGCTAGGCTCGAGAACTAGCTAAAATTGTGAAGGTTGAAGCTCCTAGGTGAGTAATTGAGCATAAATTCATGAGTTTTGAGTTTGTAATTTTGTGACTTCAAAGTTAAATGGTAATCAAAAATAAGAATTAAGTTGAATTTGATGAATTTGAGGTCATTATAAACATGCATGTAAAAGATTGCCATGAATTTGTGTATTTGAGCATGAAACATATGATCCATGTTGAATATTGATTAAGATTCATGCTTTTAATAATCTTTTGCATCACTTAAGTTGAGAATAGAAGTTATATTCCACATGCAAGCACAATTCATGGAGGTATAAGTTTTGGTTTTATGAATTTGAAGTGTTGGAAATAAGTTTGGTATAAATTGAGTATGTATGCAGTTAATTCATGGGAATTGAGCTTCATAATGTTGTAAATTTAGTATTTGTATCATGTTAGATGATATACAAGTAAATTATGAGTCATAACAAGCAAGTTACATCAATTGGAACCAAATTTGAAGCTCAAACAGAGTTCTGGAAAACCCAAAATTCGGATTGTCCGCTCGAGCGGGGAAAGTGCCACTTGAACATAGAAAACAAGTTCCCAAAAGTTTTACAGAGAGTACACAGAGGCTCGAGTGACCAAAGTTGCGCTCGAGCGTACTCTGTTTTGCAAAACTTCTCGCTCGAGCAACGGAAGCCTCGCTCGAGCGTAAATTGCAAGCAACTAATACTTTTGCAGATAAAAGGGGTCCGCTCGAGCGGCCAAAGCTGCGCTTGAGCAAAGAGCTCTGTTTCAGAAATTTTGAAAAGTCATTTTGTGTTTTGTTTTCCATTCTCTTTCATTTCTAAGCACTCTTAGGCATACATTAGGCATTGTAAATGACCTAAAAGGATAAGAAAAAGGCCTAAGAGAAATAAATAAATTAAAAACGGAATGAATCACTTGTGACCTAATGTGTTATGAAATGTGTAGGGTCAAGCACAAGGACAAATCATCCAGCAGATCACTGTGAATAATATCTTAGTAAACATATGTTCAAGTACGTTATTTTCCAAATGTTACTTCTGTATGAGCCTTATGGATTTGTATTTTGAATTATGAATGAAAATGTCAGTCTTTTGCATAAGACTAATTAAATATGAATGTGATCATAATCACGAATATGAGACACACACAAATACGAATGGGGAAATGATTGGGCCAAAGGCCATTTGATATAGATGATTGGGCCAAAGGTCATTTGACATGAATGATTGGGCCAAAGGTCGTTTAACATGAATGATTGGACCAAAGGCCGTCTGACATAAATGATTGGGCCAAAGGCTATTTGACATGAATGAATGGGCCAAAGGCCGTTTGACATGAACAAATTGGGCTCGAGGCCATTTGATACATTTGGACCTGAGGCCGTTTGATGTATTAGATAGAAACATAAATGGGCCTATGGTCGTTTGATATGACTGCTACAAATTTTATTCATGTACTCCTTTATTTTGATATTATTCACTGGGCTATCGCTGACTCTCATTTATGTGTGTGTAGGTGAGTAAAGAGATGTCCAAACCCAGCCTTAGTGAAAGACATAAGAGAAGTCAAGTTTTGTGAAGTCAGCCCGAACGTCTCACGCACAAGACTTTGTTTCATTTCTTTTGTTTTGATTCCCTTTTTGTTACCTTGGTGAATATGTTGGATCACCATGTATATAAACTTTTTGTTGGGCTCACTGCATGTTTGAAAGTTCCTAGACATATAAGATGTTAATTCTGACAACTAGATGTGTGAGTTATTATGGAATGTTAATGAAGTGTTTTGCGTTATCATGTAAGCACAGCTCATTGGACAAAAATATTTAAGTCTGCTTCTGTTTGGCCGCTAATATATGTTTGATTTTGATTGAGGCCGTAGGTAATCTCATGATTACTGGCCGATTATGACCTTAATCCATAGGGGTGCGTTTGGGTCATGACAAGCTCCGTCCCAACTATCACACGCTTTGGTTGTGTCTGACCTCCCATTCAAGACTTTTGTTTGACTACACATGATATCATTGTTCAATGGTGGACCTCCATATATACCCGCAACATGCCATTAGAGGTTGCTTAAATCCTGCAAATTATATTCATACAAAATCGAATGTCTTTGCATGTCATCAGATATTTGAGAATGAGTTACATGGGATTCAAGATTGTTTAGAATAGAAGAAGAAACAACAATATTTTGATGTGCTAAAACCTGTAAACCTATGAATGTGCATATTGTTATTTAGACATGTGTCCGATGCTTCCCAGCATATTGAGCTAAGCAAGCATACCCATTAATTTATTATATATACAATTGTATTTAACAATGTTACTCCACGTATTTTTGACACACTTTGATACACAAAACACTATTTTATCTCACAAAATGGATTAAAAAATATCATCTTTTTGTGCCAAGTCTGTGTATCTTTCAATTAGAAGTTTGATGGGTCAAAGTGAAACCCCTAAATACACGCCTAACACTCGTACGCAAGTCCATGTAGCATAGTTAATCTATGCCCTAAAATACATTGCTAGATCTCTGTTATAAAAAGCTACATAGGCAACAATGAACGAGTTCCTACGAAGTATGAACACTTCTAAACGAGAGTCATATCCATATTGTTTCCATATATTTCTAAAATATCTCCAAAATAGAAGAAGAGATTTTAAAATCAAATGGACAAATCTTTAATTCTATTTTCAAAATATAAAAAAAAAAAAAAAAAAAAAAAGTTTACCTAATTTTCATCAAATCTTAAATCACCTTAAATATTCAAACATAGGTTTGCATATGATTCACAGTTTCATTGAAATAGTGAAAGTAAAGCATTTTCTTTCTCTTATGGAGTGTAAAAACAGAAATAGTATGAGCCATGCAACCGTGAGGACCCGTGTTATGAACCCAAAAATTCCACGCCCCCTGATTGTATAATTTCTGAGGAAATAAATTATTTCATCAATCTAATAGACCTAAGTAATACAGTTGAATGAAATAAAACATCAAAAATAAGCAAAAATTAAAAAATAAATAAATGTTTGTTACCTTAACTCCAGCTTCAAATTCTGCTAAAATTGTTTGAATAAAATCAAGAACTTGATCCAATGACATGGAATCATAGTCAACTCTAAGATCATTTGGCCAATGTCAAACATGTGAAGCCCCTAACTGAAATATTCTTCTGGTGGAAGGTATATGTCAAGTTCTTTTGCTGCAACAAAATTAAGAATACAAAATTTTGTGGTGGGCCGGTTTGACAAATTCTTTTTTAGTAGTTTTTATTTTTTATTTTTTTTAGGATAAAGTTGTCGCTAAAATAGTTAATGCTTTTGGGAAATGCAGTGAAAACAATACTTTGTTATTGGGAAAGTTTAGGTGGGGTGGGATTTCGAATTTAAACATTTTTTAAAATTTTGATTTTTTTGAATTTTCATTTTTAAAGATTTTGCAATAAGTAAAAATCAGAACAAAATTGTTTAAAACAAAAAGTTCAAAAAAAAAAGTGACAATTTAGCACTTGCCAAACAGAGTGGGCTTAGTTTAAAATATATATATAAAAAAAATTACCTTTTTTGCTTGAAGAAAGGAAAAGAAAAAGCAAAGAGAAAAGTTGTTTGGTTTTGTTTTCATTTTCCCCAAAACTGCTTTGGTGAATCTTTTCTGAAAACCGTTTATTAGATAATTTTTTTGAAAACAACTCACCTTTTTTGAGACATTTTCAAATTATCGAAAACCATGTTTACACAAAAATAAAAACTAACGGTTAATTCCAAACTTTTTTACTGTTTTGTTTCCGGAAACACTTGAAACAAAAACACAACCAAATAGTATTTTTTAAATTTTTTTTTCATTCCCCCCCGTCGCTTTTCTTTTCCCTTAGCAAATTATTTGTCACGACCCCAAACCGCCCCTAGTAGTTTGGTACCGTGATGGCCAGTAATCCGAGATTACCGAAGGCCAACTTTCAAAATTCACACATAACAGAGTATAAATATATGGGGTTCACAAGTACGGAAGCAATACATACAAATCAAATTAGTCCATAAGAGCTGTGCGTAAGTCAAATGAAATGGCAAACATCTTCACATGGATTACAACTTAGTACAAATGAAGTAAAGTACTTATTACATCTTGATCAAAAGGCTTCTCAAGCCGACGTGTGCAAAATTACAAGTATTACAAGTTGAGAAGCATAATTTTCAAGACTGCCGACGTAAATACAAGTCAAGCCGACATAACAAAATCCAAAATAAGCTCGCGAATCACATCTAGGCGTCACCGCCTTCTTGCTCATCACCTACATATATATAGAGAGGGTGAGCTTGGGTACTCAGTGAATGATATAAATAATAAAGGATTTGCATGAATAATAGCCGAAGTCTTTTCAAAACAATACATGTCAAAACCTTATATAACAAGGGATGGACCTCGTCCATCTGGCAAATCTTTAAAGCTTCAAGGGATGCTTACTAGCATCAACATATTACAAATGATGACATTCTGGGCAAACAAACCCACGCGGTAAACCGTCAGTGGCAAAACAAGACAAAGCAAGGGAGATATCTCAAATAAGGGTGCTACAAAAGTTTAGAGTCCTCTAGCACAAAGGACCTATGTTACAAAGGCCCGTAGCCCCCTAACACGAGAATACTGCGAAAGTTTAGAGTCCTCCAGCACAAGGGACTTTCAAAACAAGATGTGCAGTTGCATTATAGTCCCCTGGTACTAAGGACTTTCAAAGCAAGATGTGCAGTTGCATTATAGTCCCCTGGCACTAAGGACTTTCCGAGAAGGTCATCAAAACAAGATAATGCTTGATGTATAAAATAGGGACAATCATTCATGCTTAACAAATACTTTTCAAAACAAAGTAAAACAAAGCTCATCAAAACATTGATAACATAGCTTTATTAAAAATACCACTCACATAGTTCTTCAAACGTCGGGGTCAAGGCAAGTCCCAGTCTCCAAGTCCTACAAACACATGGCAAAGTCTATTGAACGCACTTTCAAACAAGCTTCACATGCAAACGGATGATTCGACATTCTTCAAAAACTAAGTCAAATCAAAACAAAACACAGTTTTTTATCTCGGGAAAACATGCTGGGCAAATACCAGGTCTAGGCCGAGGTCCCACACCTCCTTGCCGAGGTGTGGCCTCGATGGCCACATTCAAGGAAATGAAGTCGAGAAAATCCGGGTTTCCCTCTCTTGAAGAACATGAACATGAGAAAGATGAATGCAAAGATTATAACTTGCTATTACAAAAACTGAGATTTCATGCTAAGAATCCGAAATCATGGACCTAGGTACCCATGCTCGAAGATCTTGTTAGAACAAACACAAAAACATGAACCTTAATGCAAACTTTCGGATCAAACAAGGTTTTTCTTCAAGAACACATGAAAACCATTTTCTCTTTCTAAAACCAACTTTAAATCAATGCATGACGTGCAGAACAGGTTTGGTCGTGCAATGCAGCTAGATGATCAATAAGAACAACAAGAGTAGATTAAGATTCTAACCTCAAAACTCGAATCTAACAGTTCAAACTCCAATGATCAAGCTTGGAAGTTCACTATCTTACTCAAAGGCTTCACCTTCTTCTTCCTAGAGTCTCTCTCTCTAAAAGGCAAGATTTGATACAAAATGATATGTTTCTCCCGACAGCCACTGACTTAACCCTCTACTGGGACACGTGGCATCGGCGGATTGGCTCTACTCAAAAAGGTGACTGACTGACAAGACAAGACCATGACAAAGTGTATTCAACAAGCTAGACGGCAAGAGCACTCCGGCGAGTGATGATCTCGGCTAAGGGCAAGGCTTCGGCAAGTAGGGTAACAATGACATCAGCTTGGAAGGATAACACTTGACTAAGTTGTGCCACACCTTGGCCTAGATGTGCCACACCTCGGTTTAGGTCATACCATTCCAGGAACAAAATCACTAAGTGCAAGGATAAACATCTCGGCCTAGATGATGCACATCTCGGCCTAAATAGCGACATCTCGGCAAATATGCCAGGGTGGAGATGGAGGTCAACCGAAGGGATTCCAAGATAGTTCTAAGTGGAAAAGGGTTCGAAGGTGTCTAAGCTTAAGATGACCTCGGCAACACGCCAGGCAAGAACAAAGCATGCAAGTAACATTTGAGGAAAACATGACAAGATTTGCAAATGCACATAACAAAACAAGATCATACATAAATGTATGCAAGTATGACTAAGTTGAAATAAGGGTTGTTACATCCTACCCCCCTTAAAGAAGTTTGGTCCCCAAACTTGAGTTACCTTGTTCCAAAAACAATTCTGGATGTCGGACTTTCATTTCCTCTTCCATTTCCTATGTAGCATCCTCACCGTAATGCTCCTTCCATTCAATTTTCACCATTGGTATCGACTTACTTCTCAACTATTTCACCCGCCTATCGATAATCCGTATCGGCTTCTCTTCGTAGCCTAAATCCTCATTAACTACAATTCCGAAATAGTCGATCACATGTAGTGGATCTCGAATATACTTCCTTAACATCGAAATATGAAACACATCATGGACTTGGCTCAATTCTGGCGAAAAAGCAAGTCTGTAGGCAGCGAGGTTAACCTTCTCAAGAACTTCAAAAGGCCCGATGTAACGGGGTGCTAACTTACCCTTCTTCCCAAATCTTGTGACTCCTTTTATCGGCGAAATCTTTAGGAACACATGGTCCCCGACTTCAAATTCCAACTCTCTTCTTCTCTGGTTGGCATAACTCTTTTGTCGACTCTGTGCGGTTTTGATTCTTTGCTGAACGAGCTTAATCTTCTCGGTTATTACTTGAATTAACTCGGGACCAAGCAGAGCTTTGTCTCCTACCTCGGTCCAACATATCGGCGACCTGCACTTTCTTCCATACAGTGCTTCATACGGTGCCATGCCAATGCTAGCTTGATAGCTGTTGTTGTAGGTAAATTCCACCAATGGCAAATGTACTCCCCAACTTCCTTGGAGGTCCAATACACATAGTCTAAGCATATCTTCAAGTGTCTGAATTGTTTTCTCTGTTTGCCCATCAGTCTGGGGATGAAAAGCTGTGCTGAACCTCAACTCGGCCCCGAAAGCTCTTTGTAAGCTCTGCCAAAATCTGGAAACCAACTTCGGATCTCAGTCCGACACAATTGACATCGGCACTCCATGAAGTCTAACAATCTCATTCACATCAAGCAAAGTAAGTTTATCGGCGTTGAAGGTGGTCTTAACCGGCAAAAAGTGTGCTGACTTAGTTAGTCTATCTACGATAACCCAAATCGAATCCATACCCTTTTGTGTCTTTGGCAAACCAACCACAAAGTCCATGGAGATGTGCTCCCATTTCCACTCAGGAATCGGTAAAGGTTGAAGAAGTCCTGCTGGCCTTTGATGTTCTGCTTTCACTTGTTGACAATACAGACACTGCGACATGAACTCGGCTATTTCTCCTTTCATATTCGGCCACCAAAACATCTGCTTCACATCCTGATACATCTTGGTGTTCCCTGGGTGAACAGCGAACTTGGAACCATGAGCTTCCTACAAAATTTTTCTTTTCAACTCTGGGATGTCGGCCACACACAATCTCCCTTCAAACTTGAGCACTTGATTTTCTATGGTGTACCTTGATCTTGGCTTTGTGATAACCTCATTGGCTACCTTCTTGAAGAATTCATCCTCCATCTGTCTTGTCTTTACTTCCTCAACAATAGTCGGCTCCACTAAGATCGTGGTTAGACATGCCAAATTTCCAACCATCTTTTTGCTCAAAGCGTCGACTACGGTGTTAGCTTTACCTGGATGATATTGAATTTTCATATCGTAATCTTTTAACAACTCGAGCCATCTTCTCTGTCTCATATTCAATTCTTTCTAAGTGAACAAGTACATCAGACTCTTATGGTCTGTAAAAACCTGACAAGAAGCTCCATACAAGTAGTGACGCCAAATCTTTAAAGCAAATACCACGGCTGCTAGTTCTAAATCATGGGTGGGATAGTTCTTTTCATGTGGCTTCAATTGACGAGAGGCATACGCTATGACCTTACCTCCTTGCATCAATACACAACCTAAACCCTTATGCGAAGCATCACTATAAACATGAAACTCTTCATTACTTGACGGTAGTACAAGAACCGGTGCTGCAACTAACCTCGTCTTCAACTCCTGGAAGGCTGCTTCCCTATCCTCAGTCCATTC